GTGCATGCTGGCAGCGATGAAAGTCAAACGAGGGTGGAACCAGAGGATGTACGTTTTTTAAAGGAGTGGTTTAAGGAGGCGGAAAAGGCGTTTACCTGGGGGGTGGGTTGTTTTTCTTTATGGGGGAGTGAAGTGGAGAAATGCGGCGAAAATTCCAAACTTGCCAAAAGTGCCACCGAGAAAAGCAATGCGGATGTCGAGATGATCAAAAAAATGGCGGCGTATCAAGCTTCCAGTGGTACAAGTACGGATGATTATAGACAGAAGTCGGCGGAGGTGAAGTCAAGAATGGAAAGCACCAAGGATACGATTGGAAAAGCGTGGTTATCGGCCGTTCGTACTGGTGTCATGGAGTTCATGTGCACGGACCCACTTGGTAACATGAGGCACTTGGTGAATGATCTTAACGACACCCGGGTGGCTCATACTGGTGAATTGGATAAGAGAGAGAATAAAACGCAGGAAATAGAAGACCTCGTCGAAAATAGTAAAGAAATATACATTAGGTTGGTAAACCTCACGGCAAACCTCAGTGTAACCAAGGTGTGGAGTGGCGGTCACGTTAGAGAAGCCAACACGAATATACAAAAGGCAAAAAAGGCAGTGGATGACATTATTACCGAGTTCGCGAAGAAGTGCGGTGGGACAGCAAAAACAGAGTGCGAAGAGAAGTTGGGTGAACTCAGGGCGATTAAAACGTTAGTGGATGGTATGACCGCGACACACAATAAAAAGGGTGCTGGCGATGTAGCTAGGAGGGAACTGGTGGAGGCGCAGAAGTTGGAATCCAAAAAATGGGAAGTGGCCAAGGAAGACTTAAAAAAAGAAAGAGAAGAAAAAAAAAAACAGGAACAGCAGGCTAGAGAGGCGAAGGAACAAATGGAAAGGGAACGGGCCCAAAAGGCTAGAGAGGCAGAAGAACAAAAGGCAAAAGAAGCGCAGGAACAAATGGAAAGGGAACGGGCCCAAAAAGCAATAGAAGCGCAGGAGCAAATGGAAAAAGAACGGGCCCAAAAGGATAGAGAGGCGCAGGAGCAAAAAGAGAGAGAAGTGCAGGCCCAAAGGGCTAGAGAGGCGCAAGTGGAAAAGGAAAAAGAACAGCTGGAACGGGCAGCGGAGGAGACGAGGAAGAAAGCAGCGGTCAAGAAGAATGACAGCAGTATCAGTCCTGCATTGGTGCACAGTCCCTTGCTGTTGATTCTCTTGTCCGTGCTGGGTTCCACTCTCGTTTGCTGATCGGTGTTCCCATGACACAGTTGCACAGTTAACCTTTATTTGAGTGGATATGGATACATTGTAAGGGCACTGTTCTTTTTATTTAATTTTAATGTTTCTTTTCTCTTTCAGTTCGATAAATCTCTTATTTGCATTCTTTACTGAACAAATCTATTGGACTCCCTATGGCACTCATCACATGACAAACCATTATTTTGTAAGGGGAGTGTCCTCTTTGTTTGTTCGCACATTTATCTGGGATCTATTGTGGCGCCATTCACTCTGGTCTCCTGGTTATGTGTGTGTGTTCCGTGATATTAATAACTATTGCTTTTACCCATGGGAATGAGATACAATCCCGATGTGTTTTAATTGCTGTGACTGAAATGTGAAGAATGGCAGGAGGTTCAAGACACACAAACACGCAC